CCTTGACAAAAAAGCATTATTTTTCCTTGTCTTAATATTGCCTTTTTTTCTATCTGTGTAACTTCATGTGGAAATCCTGATGAGATTTAAAATTAAGTTCACAACAATATTAGAGGCTGTGAACTTGTCCACGGAGGCTGCAAATTATTAATTAATAAATATTGTATTCACTGACATTTATTTTGTATTTACATTTGCAATGAGTTCCACAGTATCTTTTTTTCTAACTGGTGTGACTACAGTGACTGTGTAGTGTTTTTGTTTTGTCGATTGTTGTCAGTTTTGTGTTCTTGGAATTACGTACAAAAATCAGCAATGGTTAAATAGGTATGTTATTTCCATTCTGCAGTATATCGTAGATAGTACTTGTATACTTTGTTATCCAGCATAAATATTGGATTGTTTGGAAGCATGAGATTGTAATGTAAATTTCGTTCATTAATGTACGATGACGCTATTTCTGGGGCCTTCAGAGTTCCATGTTGACTACACGACCAAGTAAACGTCAGAATATTAATAACACAGAAACCTAAAAATCAGTTGCCCATGCCAAGAGAGCCGTAGAACCAAAACAATCTGTCAGCCATCGCCGTCCAAAGCAGCGATATGATTTTACACATCGAAATTGAGAATCGCAGATGTAACATATTGCATAGAAATGAACGCCAAATACATCTATCCCTGCCAGCAATCGAATCATCAATCTTCATGAGTGACTTAAATGTTATTTCCATCTATTTGCTTCTATTCCCACTATCCTAAAACGCTCAAGTGAATGTTGTCAAATTCGCGAGTGTGCGTATTTTCGTACAGTGGCGTAAACATTGCTACAATCAAAGACGCGCTGAACAGAAAGTTCATTATGGGCTGATACCATTGTCAAATTCTGGGGAGTAGAGGATTATTTATATAGGAGACGTTATAATAAGGAACTATTATAAAATTGTTCAATTTGCATATATAAAAATCCTTTATTGGATAGAGCATGTTCTATATTTATCAAAAAACAAAGTTGTTATGTTTCTAGACACACAACAGACTCAAAACATTAGAAACCGTTCGATCCACCTGCGTTCTTGAAAATCGAGTCATATCGCCCTTGTGTTTCTGAGCAAAAAAACGTTGACGCCAAAAACAACCGATTTTCGTCCAATCTTCTATGAATTTTTCATAATATAGCTAATTCAGTCCAGCGGTTAGATAGGGTATTTATTAGAGACGACAAGAGAACCAAAATTTGGAACGTGAATCGCTCCGGCAACGAAAAATCAGCGAAAATAGCCAAGGGAGTGAGGGACTGCATTTCAAAAACATATTTTATATAAAGGCTATATAATGATTGTTTTTTTCTTTGTTTTTGTTTTGCTTTTCAGGAAGAAGACAATGATATCGACGGTTTTGAGTTTGAGCATCTGAGAGATTTCCACCATGGTACACGAGTGCATTGCATTGCATGGAATCCAGAGACAACACTGGAAATGCTACCAAGACAAGTAAAGTGAGTGCTATAGTATACATACATCAGGGCTTGAACTTTGGTATTCTGTAGGCCCCAAGTTCAAAGATGAAAGCTTTTAAAATGTATTGGACTGATTAAAATTGTGAGGGAATATTCAAATATTGCTCAGGTTATTGACAGATTACACAAGATGAATATTACCAGGTGGACCAAAATAGTTTTCTCTAAATTATATGACTAAACTTGCTTGGAACTGGCCAAAATATATCAACAATATCCTAATTCAAAATGGTATGGACCACATTTATGGGCTAAAAAGACCACAGGATATTAGTTGGATTAAAAGTTTCTATAAAATTAGTGAAGAAAATGAAATAAAGCGTTTTGGTGTAACTATAGTATTCCAAAAATGCAAGGGCTCATGGGTAGATGCTTGTTTGTAGACAATGACACACTATGACCATCTGACGCATGCGCGAGTGACGACTCCCTCATTTTATAATTATCATACCTTTGAATTGATCAAGCTAACCCTAAAATGATGTTCCATTCCCTCCAGTCATGTTAATTTTTCCGGGAACCATGTTAACATACGTCCAGGAGGACAATGGACGCAATGACAACAGGAAATAAAACACTATTGAATGGAGAAAACAATTCTTGTTGCTCTCTCACACTTGACGAGTATTTACTTCTAAGGTCTATTCATAAAAAAATTGTTTGAATGCTGTTGTATGAACATTAAAAAAAAAAATATACCTCCATTTTTGTTCTAGGTTTTGTACAGCTGGTGCCGATTCTCAACTTAGAATTTTTTCGTCTGATTTAAAAGAAACTGACAGTGTAAAGGTATATTAAATAGATATTGACTGACCAGCGGAATAGTTTATGTGAATAACATGTGTATCACATCAGGATTCTGTGATGTAATTGGTCAACGCAGAATTTTGTGGGACTACACAATTTGTTGCTGTTACACCTTTACATGAAGAATTTTTGTCGAAATGACTTCACTTATGAAAGAGCATAAGAAGCACTCTGCTGTGAATACGGTTTGTAAACAAAATGGCCATATTAAACTTAGAAGCGAGTAACATCAATAATGAAGCATCACCTGTCTATGCTTATGGAGGGTGTGTGATTCCTGTTGCATTCATCACACTGAAATTTTGGCTTGCACATATACACAACAAGTTATGAAAATTTAATTTACAAAATGCTCCTGTATGCCCAGCAATTGCAAGATTAATCAATATGAAAAAAATAACAAAATTAAGAACAATCTACCTACTGTAGAATACTTTATTTTTGCTTGAAATTTATTTTCACTGAAGGGATGATTCCTTGAAAATAAAATCCAGCGAATATACTTTTTTTTTCCTATATTTCACATTAAACTCATCAAAAATCAGCGAAAATAAATTCCATACAAAATGCCCCAAAAGCCTTTTCAGTGAAAATTAATTCCAGCGAAAATAAAGTATTCCACAGTATCCTATATTTATTTTCGATCTTTACCAGAAACTCACTATCTATTTTATCTGGCCTTATGAGATGATAGCTTGCAAACTCAATGGAATAACTTGTATTACATAACTGTATAACCTCTAGGTACTTGAAGGTCACACTGGATATATAAATGATGTGATATTTGAACCGACGCAAGGTCAGCAATTAGCTTCCGTTGGAGATGACCACACATGTAGGATATGGGATTCAGATGGACAACAAAGAGCGTGCTTTCCTCTCTACTCGCCGGGAATGTCAGTTGGTTGGCACCCAGATGAACCAGTCAAGGTACAAGATGCATGATGTAATTTATCAGACACCCCCTGGGAAACCCTTAAAGCAATGAATAAATTGCACATGACAAGAATTCGTAAATGAGGCTACTCATCAAACTATCACAAAACACTGTATGTTTATTTGTTTAAATCGCATATTGCATGCATCAAAATGAACAATGCTTGGCCTTGTCGATCTTTGAATCTAGCAACTATCACGTCCTGCAATAAACTCTGTTTACTGAGATTCTTCCCTGTGCAAAAATTCAAACTTAAAAACAGGTCAAACTTCGCATGTGATTTGATAAACATTTATTTTATGAATATTTTCAAGCTCAGTATTGTGCTATACACATTTAGTAATTGCCAATCTCTGAATTTAGACAATGAACTATGAAAATAAAGAAATTGACATTCAAAATTAAACCATTTGATTTTTGCGGCCAACATAAGAACTCCGTCTTTTACACATTACAATAGATCTAAAAATCGAGTGAACGAAAAATCTCCCATTTCCTAGACTCTCTCACACAAGTTCACACAGTGTGATCTTTGGGAAATCAGTGAACTCTATATGCCCTTGTTTATTATCCGCCCTTGAAATCTTAACTTTTCGTTTCGTTTTTTAACTCAGCTGATGGTTGCGGAAAAGAAAGGAACAATACGTATGTATGACCTCACAACTCAGCAACCAATCATGTCCCTTGATGCAGGTCATGTGACATTGCTGGCAGCTGACATATGTTACTGTGATCCAGTCCGTATTGGTGGTATTGCCAATGGCAACTGGATGATATGGGATTCTACAAGATCAAGGTGGGTCGTTTATAGCAACTAATATAGACTAGTATAGATCAACAAGTGTCTGATACATGGTTTTGAGGTCAATGGGTGCGAGACAAGTGACGTCAAAATACTGTTTGTTGCTTCTTGTCCTATAACTAGCTTATATCGTGACTCGTTGTGTTAATCCAAATTGACTTACGTCCATTGCTTGTTGATTTCACTATCGGTTTCACTAATAATACAGTCATTTGAAGTATCAGTGTAAATTCAGAAATTGACATATAATCAACGAACGCACTTTTCGCTAGAATAGAATAATATTCCAGGCAGTTGCATTTGTTCCAATATCCGTTCCAAATGACAATGTTCATATTTCTAAATTCCACAAATGTACATGTTGATTATAGCATTGGAATAATGCAATCTGATTGGTGGAGACTGCCAGTTATGTCAGAAGTAGTGTTAAAAATGTGACTCAAAATACCGGATACTGGAAAACCACGTACATTTTCACAAACATTCAATTTCACTTTTTTGTTGCTTTGAGCATATTCACTGTTTTTCATTTTTACAAATTTTTTTTAAAAAATGATGTGTTTTATTGTTATTTTACATGTTCACATAGATTTAATTTAGCAGATTTTACTTATCAGCGAAAATAATGAAATTAAAACCCAGTGAATAATTAATGCATTTACAGAATTGATTTCTGTCCTACAGGCTTATGGTTTTGCTAAATCTTGTGGCAAAAAGTTTTCTTTTATGAAATAACTGATTTTCATAAAACATACAGTAACTACTCTTTTGTGAGAACTATGATATTTTTTAATTTAAAAATTTCAGAATTGTATATATTCAAATTACTGGTGCTGGTAATTACTACTGAGTGGCAGCAATCCTGCTTAATAACGCTTTATACAAAACTCAAAAATAAATATATTTGTTTAGTAATTTTAATTATAGTTCATTATAGTGATTATTAAAATTATACTAATTTGATGAGTTGTGATGATAGTCCTGCCCATAAATGGAATGGCTAAATAAATACAAGTGGTAAATCTTTTTAAATCTATTTCTAGTTTACCGCAAGAAAGTCGACAAGCACATAATGAAGGTGGAAGACATTTCAAGTGGTCACTTGTAAGTGAAAATTTATTTGCCACGACGGGACAAAACCAAGTCAAAGTATTCCATATAGGACATTCACAGGTGAGAAGTGTAGTTTATAGAGAGGAAGTTCTAAAAATGAAAGTGTTTTTAACCTTTCCACCACCCATTCTGTCTTTTCTTCACAAATTAGTCCTATTTATAGTCTGTAATTTCCTTCAGAAGATTGGAATTAAAAATAGCAACATTTTTTAGTAAAAACTGAAAATTTACTCAAATGTTGTCTGTTAACTGTAAAATTAGGGTTCATTTCCAGAAATATTGAGAAATATAAGAAAAAAGTGCGGAAAAAATTTGGAAGAGAATGGTATCTAATTGGCTGATATAATGTTAAAACTACATTTTCTGTGCAGACACGCTATATGTTTGAAAAAATTTAAATAGCTTCCTGTTTTATTATGCTCGACCAATGAAAAATTTTGCTTTTTTTTATGTATTATGATTTCTATGGACATAACTTAAGTTCTGATCAAAATAAAAAAAAAATAATTGATTTAATGCTGTGAAAAGAGAGTGACAAAATATTAGGAGTTTATCACGTGATAACTTGATCACATGACCAACTCCGAAGTGCTGGAACAACAGAAAAATCATG